TTTCGTGATTGAGAAAAATTTAATAAAAAAATTGTTGTAAAATAAGTAATATGCTGGCTTAAAACGTTTTGGTTTCAAATCGTGTAGTTAATCAATACATCTATACAACTATACTATACCTACAATTAATAATTAAGCTATATGTAAACTATTTTTTGTATTTTAAAGGCTTAACAAAAAACAATTATTAACTGCCATTTTACTTGAAAAACATTTTAAACCAGTCACACTCAATTTTTTGTATTAAACTAAGCATGTTAGTTATTTTAGAGGAATTTTAAGTGATATACATATTTTTACGGTTGCGGAAAAAAACAATCCCCAAAGTAGCATTTCCCGTATGGTGTGTCTCAAAGTATATCATTTTGACTTTTGACTGATCCTTCCCCCAAAAGTAATTAAGATCTTCATGCCTATCGTTAGATAACCAGATAAATGTGTAGAGGATTTATTAATCACTTTATTATTATATTATTATATTGTAATTGTTAATGATTGAATAAAAGAAAAAAAACTAGTGATTTTTAATGTCGCCGTCTGGACAGTAGTGAACAAGATATGATAAGAAGGGAAATACCTTTATCAAAACCACATTGTTCCTACAATATGATTATTAGCAATATTTATATGACAGTTCAGTAGAACAGATGGGGCATACTGTTTCATGTCTTCCTCGATATCATTATATGTTTAACCCCATAGAACATTTATGGCACCTGCTTTAAGTGCGAGTGTAATAAATTTAACTAAAAATTTAATTAATAATATACCTGTCAAGGACTGGAAAAATGGAAAATAGCACTTTTTAAAAATTGAAGATTCTGCATACAGAAATAACACAGCCTTTAGCAATTAATCTTAGTTTTAAATAAAAAGTTGTTTATTTAGGTAATTATTGATAATTTATATATATTTAGTGCCGTCATATTTTCTATTAGTACGTAATATAATATTTAATCTTTGTATTTTTTAAACTCTTTAAAATTCCGGACCGATGCTCTGTCCTACAATACCGACTGGTCAGGTGTTTTATTGTCATCCACAAGTTATTTCGATAATTGTGGTCACAAGCCAAGACGATATAGTTTGAGACACACTATACTAATAGATACAAAAATAACTATTAACCGAATTTTGCGGTACGCCTCTATTTTTCCTTTTTTTTACTTCTTTTTTTCTCCTCTCAATCTCTTATAGTTAAAAAAATATAAGTTGGAAAAATATTGTCTTGCATCGGGCAAAGAGTTTTGCAGCAAGCAGGATATGACTTTGAATCTTAATTTACAATGTCACACATGTCGTGCCAAGAGTTCTGTAGTCCCGTCTTTGTTTGGTAACCTTATAATTATTAAAAGCGCTAATTTAACAGAAAATCTTTTGCTTTTGCATTTAAAAATTTTGTGTTTCTACGAAAAATTTTTTCGAAGTACGTTTTTCATCGGGATTTTGTTGTTTGAATATAACAATTACTCTTTTTGGAAAATAGTCGTTTTGTTTTGACTGTGAATATTTATAATAAATTAACTTTCGAATTTAACGAATTATCTATTAGAGCGCAATTCAAGCGTATTTTAATTACAATATCCAACGTGTGAAATTAGACTATATCTATCCATTTATTAGTTATGAACAGCGAAATCGCTTTTTGAAACTTTGAACAAGCAGGCTTTGGACTGTACAAGCGCAACACAAAAAAGTTCCTATTCCTATATGATTGGCCGTCCTACAATTGCTTGCTGAATCTGCTTTATGAAAGAAACTCTCATATGGTATATTTATTTCGAAGACCAAACTAAAATTCATCGTATTAACATCGTAAATCACAATTTGATGAATGCCGGTACGTATTTGTTTTCGCTATTATGGCAGCGTTATCCAAACTCTACTTGTTTGAGGTGGTAAGCTTTCGTTGCGAATAGGACTCGCCCTTTTCAACATACATATAAAAAATCGACTTTTATGTTATTATTAAGCTACAGCCTTTAGAAAAAAAATCCAAAAATGTATATTTTTTTTAAATTCGCATTTTCAAACAACACTCCATAACGTTAAAACAACAACACAAGCACGTGCGATATTTACCATTATATCGCATAGCACACCGACATTAATTTTTGTCTCATTTAGAAATGGGTATTGAGCTTTTAAAGTGTCGACCCCATATACATATAGAGCCCGAAAATCACTACCTACCGTAAGTAACAATCGTTACGGATTTTAATGAAGAAAACTGATATTGAAAAATTTCACTCGTCAACCATAACCAACGAACCAATTAGCAACAATTACGCCGATTGCGCATAATCTTATAAATTAGCAACATTCCGCGAAATTGATTATTTTTCGGAGATAAATCGATGCCGGGATATCGAAGCAAATATTCGTTTTTCACATAATCTAAAATCGGCAGGACCTAAAAAACTGAGGCTCGTGGGTTCTATCGATATTTCTTAAGGTACTTAGAAATTGCAACAGAGGAACTATGTAGAGTTTTCTTTTTCCGTACCATGACACTAAGAATAATAAAAAAATAACAAGCCCAAAGATCTGAGAAACTCCTACCTTTCTATCGAAGCAGAAGTTCAACCCGATTACATTTTCCGACCCAAAAAGTCGATGCGAAAAACAAAATCGCTAATAATACGTGAAAACTGGTATACTGAAAACCTCGACGCGTTCCGACTAATTTTAAATTGTACGCGGCGTGCGCCGTCCAGTCGATGGGACGCAAATCTGGCTCGTAGGGGGACCGCTCCGCAGCTTTTATGCTTCCGCTCGCGCTCGTATTTCTACGTCGAATCGCGTAGCAATAGGCTCGTTTTTTTTGTACTTCGACCCATTGAAGGACCCCGAAGGGATTTTGAATTAGTGAAAAAAATGGTTGTTGCCTGAGCCACTCAGTCCGCAATATTTTTCTTAGTTAATCAAAAAATTTGAAGGGGAAGAACAAAATTAAACGGCGAAATTTTCGACGGTATAATATATTATGCAAGAAGTTTGGCAAACCACACTTTAGTCACGAGTTTGATTTGGCGCGAGCGGAGCGAGTGCTTAATAAACGAGTGACTGACAAAGTTTATCAATATGTTGCACCGTATGGTGCAACAAAAATACGCTATTGAAAACTGCATTTCGGTATCTTTTTCCTAACTCATAATATTACTAAAATATATAAAAACTCGAAATGTTGTAAGCGTCTTTGGGAACATTTTCAGTATACCTGCCATTATTAAACACTAATTTTCGTTTTTTAAATTTACTGTTAAAATACAAAAACATGTGTTTAGAACGCAACCATTTCTGTTTATCGAATTAAAACGCAATGATGTTTGTATTTTTTTCTACTCCCGTCCGTTAAATACCTAATTACCCACCGATCTAGCGTGCGGGAAGCGTCACTTTACCACGTCAGTTTCGATTCCCACGAACCACTTCGGACATTTCCGGGATTTTAAAGCACGGATTTGGGAGCAATCGGCTGTTTTCGGAGATATTTCCCACGCCTTCAATTTGACGTTTGTCAATTCTGACGGTCATGTCAGTGACTGTATTCGTGTTGTTTTGCGAAAATATACCCAAAAACTAACGGTCGTAGAAAAAGTATAGTATGCAACATGTCCGGTAAACTTTTTAACTCACTCGTCTATTAAAAACTCGCTCCGCTGCGCTCTGCTCCTGTCAAATAAACTCGTGAGTCAAATGCCGTTTACCGCACTGGTTGCATAATATCCTATAACTCACTCGTTTATTAAACACTCGCTCCGCTGCTTTCTGCTCGTGTCAAATAAACTCGTGAGTTTGTTGCATAATATAATATTTCTGTGTTATTGTTTTCCATTGTATATTTCAATATTCAATCATACGGGACTGAGTATTAATTATTATGCGGGCGTTTTTACCGTAAATTTAAAAATATTTTACTAAAAGGAGAATTGATGGCCTATGAAGGGTCCTTTTCAATGCTTCTAAATTTGATCAAATGCGTGCAGCCATTTTATGACATTTATTTCCGAAAATGTTCGGACACCTGGAACACTTTGACGTGATCGTCAGGATTGACAAACTTCAGAAATAGTTACCTACCGAAAGTGTCCGATTACATTCAACCCGTGATTAAAGTACCCGACATTTTGAGGTGATACCTTGCGCACGCCTTAAAGCATAATTGGGCATTTTAAATAAGGCAGTAGTAAGAGATTGTTCGCTGAAATTTCGCAATAAAATTTGAAGTTTGTTAGTTGATTTATAAATTTAAGAAAAAAACACCTAAATTTAATTAAAATTGCGCGTTTCCTTGAACTCTTAATCTAACAACTCCACTTTGAGATATTACTTGTTTAATTATGATTATTGATCTAATCACGTTGCGTTGTTGCTTTCGTAAAAAGTGGCTCCATTTGTTTTCCAAAAGATAACAATTGTTTAGCCGGATTTTGATGATACGACAAGATTTTCTGCTAATATATATTTAAGGTGCATATACGTGTGTAGATAACGAAAAAAATCCTGTAATATTAGGCAGTTTTTCGTATAACAAAAGGGATGTTAGTTTTGCCAAAATTCCAGAACCGGCAAAAAAATTATCGAGATTTTTTTGTAAGTGGATCCCTTTGGAAATTCGCCATCGTTCGATAGGAACATAGTACCTACATCCTATTGGAAGTTATTTAAAAATCATTCTCGGGGCCCGTAATTTCCTAATAAAAATATAGCAAAGCGTTTATTAACGTATTACGTAACATGGACAATAGGTGTTTTTATATATAACTGCTATCGCAGGAGTTTGTTTCTGCGAAAGGCGAAGCGAGACGTCCGTAACATTTTTTAAATTCGTGTTACTTGCGAAATGGCCCGGGGCGGACCGTTGATCAGTTTTGATTAATCAAAAACTAAGTTAAATGCTCATTGGTTCGTAGAATTAGAAAATAAGATATTGGAAAATATAACATGTTTCGACAAAATAATTTTATTTAACAAACTTTTCACAAGCGTAGCCTTAAAACAACGCACTTGTACTATACTTACAATTTTAAATATAGCTAATAAATTATTACTTAGGTAACTTTTTCTGTATAAAATATATTATTTGTTTATGGTTAAAATTGAATGGACCTTTGCGTACCCCCTATACATCTACAAAGCTACTACTAAATCTACGATATTGTACTAATGCATTATAATACTACTAGAACCATTTTGTAAATTAGAAACGTTCCGACGAAGTCACCTGTTCTCAGGGGTGATTTTGTTTTCGATTTTTAGTTGTTCTGCCCAAATGTTCTTCTAGACAAACTTCGCGAACAATATTAATTTTATACGAAGAAATGCCTCGTAATTTTTTTTCGATTATGGCACTTTAGGTAATTCGAACTCAGAATTTCCAAACGTTCGGACAACGCAAAAACGTTTTGTTTTACCTCGAATACATGTCATCTCCTGCAAAACAGAAAACACCCTGTAAAAAAAAAACTAAATCTATATTTGGAGCGCGGGCTGGCCCGTGACAAAAAAAAAACGCCCACAGTTAAAATGAAGCGCGAAAATATCCGCAAAAATCGTTAAACTAAAATATGTCCGTTCCGAGAAAATAAATTGGGAAAAGTCTTGCGAAACTGCCGCCATTTTACTTTGTGCGTTTCTTTGTAATCACCCCGGGGATCTCGGGCCGATGCCAGAAATAAATACAAGCGACTAAGGGTGCGTTTAACCTTGTGACGTCATGTATCTGACCGCCAGGTCCGGATCCAAATAATTGTAGATGTCCTTTTTCTCTTCGGACTCCTTGGTCGGGTCCTGTTTTGCCGTCGCGTTTGCTTTCTGATGTATCGCGTGGGATCCGTCTCCCGTCCTTAACACCCTCCTGTCATTAAGCCCGGTTTACATTGAGAAATAAAGTATTTAGCAGCGACTTACTTTTGAATCATGTGATACGGAGTGGTCTTCAAATCGTATGCCAAACCCCAATGGGCTAAGAGGTCGATCACGAAGGTGGTGATGCTGTATCTAGATCCGAATTCGGCCGCCCTGTAGTCCCACGGGAACGCGTGATGGTAGTTGTGCCATCCTTCTCCCACGGACCAAAACGCGACGAACCTGGACTCTACGGGTTTCATAAACCTGAAATGTAGCATTATAGGGTGCATCCACCATGCGGTAAAGATAGTGCAAGCGCTTGAGCTAGGATTTAGAAAAGAGTAGTGACGTCATCTTGGTTTGTCTCTCTTAAATCCCGTTAACTCGCTGTGTTCTTCTAATATTTAAACGGCTTGGGTGGTTTAATATGTACCAAACGCGCAATTTTTCTACATATTCGACTCTTTTTATTATTTTTTTATTTACCGCAATAAGTACTATTTAGCTGGACGAACAATTCTAAATGAACATTTTCTTTACTTAGCTAATGGCGAATAGCATTTAATGTAATTAATTTACTTTTTTTTTCTTACCTAGTTTTTTCAAACATTGCCATAGTTTCAACAAGCGATTCCTTGAAACCGGAACATTTTTTGCAACGTTTTGAAACCAAAATTGTGAAAAACGGTTAAAAAATAACCTCACAGGGAGACAAAAACTAGATAAGTAAATAAATTTTTATAAAAATAAAATGTTAATGTAGTTTTGCTTTCGTGCAGCGACACGATTTCAAAATTTAGATTTTCATATGAAAAAAACAATTTACAAATGCGGAAAAAGTTGATATGTTTCTAATATATTTTTAGAATTTTTTTATTTATACTTTAGAAAGTTTTTCAACAAGACACATTGTTTATGCATTTTGAACTGTTTAAAAGTGTTTTGTTGTGGCAAAAAAGTTTCATTTAGAATTAAATAGCAGTAAATATTATTCATTGTGGTCATACCGGCCTAGGGAGATAGAGTTCTCCAAACTATAGACCGTTTCTACGACATAATCCTGTATTTAACTTTGGTAAATTTTTATGAAGATCTAACCACAGGCTACCTTACTTGGGTTTCTCTTTGTAACCCTGAATAAATAGATTCGCAATTTCACAATGACGTTCCAGAACCCTACTTCGGTACTTCGTGCATACAAATGCAGAAAGCTTACGGTTTTGTGTTCATCGGTGAAAAATCCATTTTTTTCAATTCTACCCTTAAAATACAAGGAAGATTTATAAAAAGCACACTAATATGAATTAATATAACAGTTTAATCAAAGAAAATTTCCCTACTTTTAAAATACAACATTCCGCACGGCACCGTTCTTGTCGGCTAATATCTTAAATACGGCCTTAGCTTGTGGTACACGTGCTGAAAATAAAGGTCCCTCCCGCTTTACAACAGGCGGGTCTTATGAGGTTTTAAACACGGAGAACTTTGGAGAACTCTACAATTTTGGCCCTATAATCTAAAAAATATGAACTGAGGTGGCTTTTACTTGATGAAAATCCATTTATAAGACATTTATAAGAGACCATTTGATAAAGACACGGTGTTGTCGAAACAATTGTCATGCCATAATATCTAATTTCGTGAAAATCTGAATCTGAATCACACAAAAATCACTTTTTTTTTTATTTCTAATTTCTAATATTACAAAATAGCCTTAGTTTCGTCAATAAGCATGTCTTCCAAAATATCTTCTTCATACAGTACACGGAATAGTTATTGTGTTGGGAAGAACTATAAATTAAAAATGTTTTCGCAAACATCTTTATTGGTATTCTTCACTAGCGGAACGTGTGTTCAAATACGGTATATTCTAATAATAGAAAGTCCTACCTGTCAAAGGGTTTGTTGCCCCACAAATGGGCGGCGCTGTTCACTAACCACGTGATGTTGAGCACCAGAACGCTCCTGAACATGTACGCAGAGAAAACTGCATTGAAAAACTTCTCGCCCCAGCAGTAGTACGGTACCAGCGAAGGTAGCAGAATGGCGAATATCGTATAAAGGATCTTGTAGTGGCTGTAATAGGTTTTAAAATACAAATAAATCTTGGACATAAGCATTTCCAAAAATAACTTCCTCGGCGATTAACATAATGAAAGAAAGTTAATTATTGTGTTGGTTATACATTTTTCTTTTTCTTTGACTTACGATGTCAAAAAAATCTTCCTAGCACTTGGATTTGCAATTTCAATTTTTTATTTTTAGCGCCTCCAGCATTTCGTCAAGATGACGTTGCGCCAGTAAGATGACAACGGCCTAAGGCTTATTATATCTGGTCAATATAAATTAAAAGAATTAAATAGGTTTTTGCCACACAAGAACGTCCATAAATACATATGGCTTCAACAAACGAAGGGGCTGAAATCAATAATTGACTATATCGTAGTAAATCAAAAGTCCGCAATGAAACGGTATGACGCGAAAGTTATAAGAGGAGCAGTATGCGGTTCAGACCATTTTCCGGTACAAAGACACAGACATCTAGGAGATAACTAAAAAGAACAATATAGAAAGCTTAAAAGACGTTCTTGTATAAGTTACGACTGACGGTAAAATTTAAAACTATAGGAGAACAAAATATAGAAAGCAAATATAACAAATTGGGTCAGAAGAAAAGAAATTGCAAAAACAGAAACGACGATTCCTGGTGGTCTACAGAATTAGAAGAATTAGTGGAAGAAAAGAAACTAGCCTATTTAAAATTTTTAACTACAAAGGACTACCAAGACAAAGTATATTTCAACATAATGAAATACGAAGAGAAGCAAAAAGTAAACAAAGCCAAAAATCAGTTGACAGAAGCATAGGAAGCTCGAAATCAAAGCAGGCTCGGAAAACTCTAAGATCCCTTAAGACCAACAAAAATGAGACAAAAATAATAGACCCTACTGGAATAATTAGATGGAAAGTCTATTATCAGAAACTACTAACAGAAAACCGAAATGAATTCAAAAGCATAACTTATGAGAAAGAACCAACACACATACAGGAACCAGAGTTTACAGAGACAGAAGTAGAACATACATTGAGATTTATGAAAAATAATAAAGTATTGGGTCCTGGAAGTAAATCGGTAGAACTGTTAAAGGCGTATCCCGCAGCTGTCAGGTGTGAATGAGTGGAAATTAGCTCATATAACCTCCATTCATAAGAAAGGAAACAAAAATTTATGAGAAAACTACAGGGGGGTAAGTGTAACATGTTTATTGAAAAATCCTATAGAAGGCAAAATTGAAGATGCCGAAGAGCAGAGTGGTTTCCGGGCGGGACGATCCTGCGCCTAGCCTGCCCTAGCCGAAAAACTATAGCTCAAGAAGGCATATGATACCGTGACGATAAATAAGTTATGGGCTGCTTTGAAAGGAAAAGAAGTACCAGTGATGCACATAAACCCAGTGAAATAGTTCTATCATATCACGAAAAGCTTAGTAAAAATTGAAAAAGAAACTTCTCAAGAATTTTTGGTAAATAAAGGCTTGAGACATTGATGTTTTATTTTTTATTTAAAATTTGCATAGATAAGGCCTTAAAGAAGTGGGAACGAAAATGCAGTATAATGGGTGTAATGGTGAACAGTGAGTCCATCTAGAGTCTATTATTTGCAGATAATCAAGTAATATTAGCAGAAGAGAGGACGATATAAACTATATGTTTAGAAAGCTTGTATGGAGAAAACCCAGTATTGGAATAAACGGACAAGATTTACACACTGATGTGGGAACTATTAAACATACAAACCAGTATAACTATTTAGGACTTAGGATATATTTGGTGAGGAAAACAACACAATAATTACTAAATTGTCCAAAATTGTTAAAATAGAAATAAAAAACTAATATTCAACTGACAGGAGGAACCAGATGGAGTGCTGAATCTGGATATAGGCTTTGACTGTACTAGTTAGTTTTGCGCCAAATTTCCCGAGAACTCTGTATAAATCCAGATGCTCACTTTTTCTGGAACATGACCAGGCGATCGGCATCCATGTCCGACATGTCGATGGTTCGACCTTTCTCGATAACGGCAGGGTGTTTTCTGCTCATCAGCCATCCGATGTGGGAGAAGAAGAACCCCCGATTCGCGTTGTGCGGGTCCGCATCCGTGTCGCTGTACTTATGGTGCTGTCTATGGTCGCGCACCCAAATGTAGAGACAGTTCTGGGGAGGAGATTGCGATTTCCGGTTTTAGTTTTTGCTTATTTATAAGTTTTTTTGACATGTTTCCATTTTGTAACCATTTCTTTTCGTTTTTTTTAATAGTTCTGGGAAAGTCGACGTTAATTGAAAAGTCTGTAATCATCGACCGCGATCCCGGTGCACGTAAAAAACTTAACAATATAACAATGGATAATAAACCAAAGTCGTTTTTAATGCCCGCTTTATATTATGTTCGTTGTTATTTGGACAGTTTCGCAATAATATATAATATAACGAATATGTCGCCTGGCGAAACCGCTGGGACGTATCGATATATAAAAACAATCGAATCAAAGCATAACTAACTATCTCTTTTGTACGAAATTACATAGAATTTCGTATATGCGCGCGGAAGGCTAATTTGTTTGACTATCTGGTTCTGCTATACATCGTCATTTTACTTTTAAACCCTCTAAAGTCGACTTTATTTTCAAAAACATGGTTTTGGTGAATATCGATCCAGCTCTACATCTACCTTTTGAACCTTCCTAAACCATATAACCACAGAGTGTTTCCAAAATCAGGTGACAAGCTGAAGGGGAGATTCCTCAAGTAAAAATAAGACTTTTTTTCTATCAACATGAGTCCGATTCTGCTGGGTCCGTAATTACAGAGTGTAAAATATTTTGCATTTATTGAAAAAGACTGCAGCAATTTCAATATGATTTGGAAGGTAAAAGTTATTTAAACTATTACATATTTGGCTACATATTGCTATTCATGTTAGGGAGTATCTTTCGGAAAAATCGATGACTTGATGGATTGGTCGCGGAGGTCCAGTAGGATGGCCACCAACTTTAATCTTACATTTTTATTACTGTTACTACGATTACTGAAGGGCTAAAGCTAGAAGCAACCATTTTCACCACCTACAGTAATTTTATTTAGAAATGTTTAAATTAAGTTCCTTCTAAATCTTTAAAAGATATAAAATATTCAGTGCAACATAAATGCATTTTACTCATTAAAGAAACCTAAATCTACAAACGTTCAAGGAGTAGATTTCAAAAGCCACCAAATCAAGAAATCAAAGAAAAAAAAGTAATTGGCGCCTAGAATTTTAAGTATTGGTGCAATAGCCCATACTCACGGCAATGGTCAAATCGTTAGAACTCTTTCTGTAGTAAAAGAGTTTAAATAACTTTTACCCTCCAATTATTGGAATGGCAATATTCGTTTTTGATATATTTGGAGTAAATTAAAAAGATTAAAATTCTTCTTCTTCTTCCAGGGTGTAACTACTAAAAAAATCTTATTTTTACGCGATAAATCTCCCCTCCAGTGACAGTATATGTGTTTTAAACACCTTGTATAGAGGTCCTGCCTTTTGCTGATCTCAATTTATTGATATGCCCAGACCTGGTTAAATATTTTCGAAAAATAATTTAAGTGTGGTTAACCAAAACTAACCTTGAACTATATCGCGATCTATTATTATTTTCTTAAAACGCGTATGTCAAAATGGTCTTAATCTTTTTCTTTGAAATTCTCGTAAGTTTCGTATTGTTTGAAATGAACAGTTTAGATTAAATAAAACATTCATATTAAATATATTTTATTTTATAAGCCAATGTCAAAGTTGTGGCGCTAGTTTGATATTTCCAGGTTATAATAAACATCGTATCAAAATTTTTGCAGCTATTTTTGGACATAAGAGGTTTTACACCCAAATCTAATCTACGCTATACGTAAGGTTAATCAAAATTATCCTGTTTTATTTCCATTCGTCCAATAGTCGCAATATAAAAAACGTATATAAAAAGAAACAATAAACAAGTTACTGGCATCGAAGAAGTACAACTTTATATTGATCCATTGGGTAGGAAAAAGTCCAAATACGAAGATCTCCAAAAGCTAAATAGGAAAACATCACATGATTTTTTTCATCTTTTTAAAGATTCTATTCAGTACCAATTTTTTTTTATTATTTTGCTATTTTTTTGAATATTTTTTGTTATCATAAAATAATATTATTTTATTTTAAGTCGTTTTTTTTTAATAAAAGTTAAAAATGTAAACAAAACTAGTTTAATATTTTTTAGCTTGTTGCATGCATTTAAATATAATTAGACCAAAGATACTTACTAGATAAAAGTAAAACGACGATATGCAACTTTATGGTTGGTAAAAACTGAAGATGGCTATTTTTTGAATGCTTTTTATTAAACTGCAAAATTTCCACATTCTCTTGGAAGATTCGTTGCTCATTCTCATTGACTGACCACTTCTTAATTGATCGATCAATTGACCTCTTTTTAAATGACTAGTCAAAAAATGTTTTAAATAACATCTTGTAGTGAGTGTAATCTATCATTTTCCGAATACGATATTTAACGATTCGGGAAATCTCACTAATAATATCCACGGCATTTGGTTCCCAGATAAATAAATAAATATAATTTTTATGGTATTTTTCAAATTATTTCTGTCAATTGACACAAAAAAAAGAACACTAGTTATTAGCAACTCTCATCAATGCCTTATTCGCGCGGTTTGGAAAACACAGGGTGCTGAAAGTTAAAGTTAATTTTTTTGTGCGATTGGTTTGACAATTCCTGTTGTACTGACAACGCTCGACTGTCTCGTTGCTAATTATGAAAAAGACGCCCACCGGGTCGGACCTCCTCGATTGAAGATGCAAATTCTATAGGGTGTTTTTTTTTTTCCTCGCCCGCCCAGCGTTCTAATGACGGTTAATTTGACACGCCAATGGGTTTAATTGCCACGCGAAACGGTTGAGAGGTTTGTCGCGGTCAAGTCCGCCGACTACGTTGTTTGCACGTCGAATGTCCCATTAAAAAAATCCGGAGAAGTTTTTTATACAATATTTGCCCGACTCTCTAGCTTTAACGGATCTGCCATAAACAGTATATAATATATAATCTTGGGAAGCCTTTATCTACTACTAAACTTGCTCGTATTTGCGGTTAATATTAGAAAAAAGAGTTTTCTGTTGAATTACGCTAAAAAGATGCATTTCTGAGACATCGCGTATGACATTTTAACAGAAAACTTGGGAATTAAGAAAACATTATTTGGTCAAAGTTTTCTGCGAGATCTTAATCTAGTACCCAATTCGAATTTGAATTTCCCAATGTTACCATCGGTTTACGGTAGAAAAAGTCCCATTTTTGAGTTTTACACGAACATTTTATTGGTCCGCCCCAACTTATATATATTATGGCAAACGATTTTTTAATATTTCACTTACCTGTCCTGCTAACGTGTGGAATAAGATAAGAACGAGTCGAGTAATGAATGGGGCCTTGTACGATCGGTGGGAGAACAACCTGTGCGCCCCGGTAGTCACCCCCAGCCCTGATCCGAAGGCCACTATAAACGCTAAACAGAAAAGTTGTTTGAAGTTTGTTTTTATTTTTCTTCTGTAGACTAATTGAATTTTATTTTTATTTTATTTATTTATTTACTGCTCTTTTCGATTCAGGTTGAACCCATTACAGTGTCCTCTTACAAATGTCAATAAAAGTACATAACAATGTGCAAAGCTTAGTTAACAACAATATAAGAAAAAAGAGAATTCAAAAAATTAATTCAAGCCATGAATTGAGCCCAGCATAGACAAAAAAAAGTAAACTATGTAAACAATACATAGAGAACGCAGAGAAAAAGTTTTTTTATAATTTTATTTTCATTCTATTTACTTATTAATAAATAGAATATAGAACTTATCTATTTATTGAGAAAAGAAGTTAGGTGGTGTCCATCCAAAAGTGTAACAGTAAGATCTTTCTCTAAAGAATCATGCGTGATTGTGAACCAGTCCAGGTATAAGCAGTAAAGTTTTGGGAGTTATTGGTGTTTCTAAAGAGAATAATGAATGGTTCTAAATTGTCGAGGAGGCCATTTAAAATTTAATGCAAGAAAACAATATCAGTGACTATTCTCCGATCCTCCAATGGTACGAGTTTATAATACATTTTTACGTCGTTTAAGTCTTGGGCTATTAAGTTAGATTTTCGCTGTCAAATAATAAACATATGAACATACGTGTGATAAGGGCGAGCTCTGTTGAAAACATTTACTTGCCAGAGTAGTTAAAAGGAATAGGACCCCGATTTCTAATAAAAGATGTAACACAACATTTTTCGATGTTTATAAAGAGACCATTATTTTTACAGTACCAGTCAAATCGCTGAATATCTGTTATATCAATTGAGGTAATTTGTCTGAAAATTTTTAGGTTGTCAGTATACTAACAAAATTTGCTATGCTGGAAATCTTTCACGACATCATTAACTGATAATAATTTAGTAATAAATGTACAGAATGTTTCATCGACAAATTTGCGAAGATACGTCGCAATGATCAATCATTTTCTGATGATGTTACTTGACGTATTGTTCGAGAAGCACCCGTCATATCTACCCATTGATAGGTTGTGGTTATACGACCCTAGACTATTAGCAGGTATTCAAGAAAAGTTTGCGAACTTTTCTAATAAATTAATAAATTCCACTTGGGAATCGTCGGTAATCGCTTTTAAATGATTATTTAATAATTTCAAGTTTCAGTTAACCGTTTCGAGTGAAAGTTCCGACATATTACCCGCGTTTGCAAATGATCTACTAATCGCCTACTCGCATTTTTTGAAAAGATTTTCTAAGGTGGAGGGGGAGGACCCTGATATTTTATTTTAAAGTCTATAATACGTACGTAGGGTTTCTTTATATTTTTCACGATACCTACAGTCAAATCTTGAAGAGTTATAAAAGAACTTTAACTAGATGTACATTTTTTTATCTATTAGATTTTGCTAATTATAGTCAGAATAATTATAGAACAAAATAAGTTAAAATTCTATGAAGTCATCATTGGGATTGTTTTAAATATAACACCCGGTATATTTTAATTTATCTGAACAAACTGTTTCTTCATGATTTAAAGAATAATAAAAATTAATTCAATTAATTAATTTAAGAAAATTTATAAAGTTAATATTAATTTATTTGCAAATCTAGTAAAAAGTAAAGTTAAGTAAAATAACATTGATTTCAGCAATTGGATAAAACATTCAAAAAGATATCAAATGTACGTAGAATATGAAAAATTTGTGTTTGCATTTGTTCAGTCTAATGCCACTTAACTTATTGGTTATGGCTAAGGTCGTATTAACATTAAAATTGGAATATTGAAGTTAAATTTAAATTAAATTACATTATATTTATTACATATGTAACTTTCCTGTCAATATTTTTAATATTTTTTTTGTTTTTACGATGGCGTGTTCTGATGAAGAAAAATAATAACATGTCATTGGTTCAGCAAAGATTTTGTCAGGTAGAAGAGTACCATCGAAAAATACACTTAATACAAATAAAAAGTCATCTAATTCCATTATTAATCAAGTAATTTTCATTTAAGTTTTTGTAATTTCATGTAGATTGGAATATTGGTAAACGACTAAAATTAGTATAGACAAACTTAATATTCGTGAAATCAGGAAGAAAAATCATTTGCAGTTCAGTTTTTTAAAAAGTTGTTCTTCAAGAATTGGGGCAAAATGTAAACAAACACCCTCTACCTAAGATTTTCGGAGGAACCAGCTACGTCACCGGTTGGGTTTTATCAAAAACGTTCAGCCTAAATCCTTTTCACCAAAAAAATCCTTCAGATTAAAACTTTTTTTATTTCTATTAAAAAATGGATTAGTTAAAAAACTAAAGTTAAACTTATAATAAACTTTTTTTTTCCTAAATCTTGATAACTAAGGAATTTAGTAGATATATACTGTTTTTAATAAAAATGGTTTCGTATAAACTGTTGGAGTTTTTTTCCCGTTTGTGTCCTGCTTAGAATTCGATTCGAAATTTTTAGATGTTGAATTTTTGATGTAAAAATATTTTCGAAAATTATGTGTGGGTTTGAAAAATTTAAAATGTCTTGTTCCGTTGGTTGTTATTTGGCAATCTAATCGTCTCGAGAAGCACATTCCCCTTTATTTGTAAATAAACAAAAAACTGTAATTTCCTTTGTACAGAAAAAAAGACTATTTTTTGTATTGCCTAAATTTTGAGTTTTTTTTTTTTTCATTCAATGGTCTCCCTAATCAACTTTTGCAAAAATTATGCTCTCACTGTCAGATCTCGTTAAGTACGAATAGTAGTTCAACACCGCTCCACTAGGGCATCAAAAACAAAAAAGAACTTACTCCAAAGGCAGGTCAGCCAATAGCACTGCGTCGTTAGAAGGTAAAACCCGTACAGTGCTGCCAGATGCAGCATCAGAAACCCAACGGCGTTCTTCCATACTATCTCCCTCTTGAAGGTGTAATCGGTACCGATTTCGGAGGGTAGCAGACCCGAGTACTTCCTCTTGTCCTGTTTCTCCCCCTCCAGTTCCCGTTTAATCCGCAGTTTCATGTCCAGGTGCGGGTCCTCCACGATCTTGGGACGTGGTGTCATTTTCTTTGGAAAACTCGATAATTTTAGCCGCGCGCGCGATTTGTCAGAAGGCCGGGTCTTGGACTGGCCGGCGCGATATTAAAAAACGGCGAATATAAGGTAATCAAGTTCGGGGCAATTGTTTTGAAGATTGGCACGGGTGGTGGGAGGCGAGTCTTAACGTATGACGTGTGTGGAGTGGCGATGATTGCATAAAAAATATGCTAGACGGTTTAGACTCGATCAAGTTTCCCCCTATATATCTGTTCATCGCATCATCTGTTCGCACACATTATAGCAATATTAAGACTTTACAAAAATTCAAAATGATGTTTAGTTTCGTTTATTTATTTAACCACGTAAAAAAAATGTAAATCGTTTGTCTTATTTGCGATTAAATAGAATTCTAATTGTCTTTTTTTGCAGTCCAAAAGCACTTATTGAATGGATAGAATTTCCCCATAGTGTAGCTGCATAATGTATTTTAGAATGGAACAATGCAAAATACGCGTTCCTTAGGACTTCCGTAATAAGTGTGTTATTCAACTGTCTTAGCACGAAAGGCGTATATGCTAATTTGTTACATAAAACATCAATATGAGCACTCCAATTAAGATTATCGTCCAAGGTGACACCAAGGAGAGTGACGATATCACCTTTGGTTAGTTGTTGTGGTTTATTATTATCTAAAAACAAATTGTTGCACGAAAACCAAGACTGAGCCTTCAGCTCAAGCCCATAGTTCCTCTAATCTGGTTAAAGATGAGTTCCCGCAGATTATTGCCGTATCAGCGGCAGCGAAAAGTGCACATTTGACGGGACCAATGCATGAAGGGAAACCGTTTATGTAAATAATGAGGAAAAGTGGCCCGAGGACAGATCCTTGTGGGACTCCATGTTTTACGTTTACGTTTATTCCCGTTTAGGCTTATTAAAAAAATAATAGTGTAGATTGAGACAAGTCAATAGTCAGTCAGCCAAGCGCTTTCGCAATGTCGTAAAGAGACAGTTACACATGTTTGCCATCTTCCAGACTATTAACGAGTAGATTTTCAGGAATCCCCACTGTGTTTCCCTCAAAAATAGGATATACTTAATAAATAATCTAATAATAATTCCTTTAGGATTATTTCGAAAATTGTTCCAAAAATAGGGACGGTAGAAATAGGTCGATAATTGTCTAAACCCTACCTTTTACCTTTTTTGATTAGTGGGATCATTTTTGCGCATTTAAACTAATCTGGAAATATGGCAGTTTTTAAACCAACGTTGAATAAATGTGACAAAAAAGGCACTAAAGTGCGCTTAAAAACTTTTATTATCCTACTATTAATATTCCATTCATTGCATTCTGTAATAAGAGGGACTTCAAAAAAGTTTGTACCGTTAACTTCAAAGGAATGAGCCGAGGGTGGATAATATTTTCAGCCACCCTGGTAAACTGAAGGTAAAACTGCTCACAATCAATGTTAGAATAGTTAGCTTTTGAATAACAGTTGTTTATTTAATAATTTATTAGTCTCCAAGAATCTCTCGATTTATTTTCCGAATCTTTAATAAAAGTACCAAATGATTGATGATAATGATTGCTTTTTATTTCCTATTATTGAGACAGTGGTTGCTGAAGGATACGATTCCAGAAATGAAAACTACTTTATTTAAATATTTTACAAGACGTATAATACAATACCAATACAACCTAAATAAACAAGTAAATATGTATAAAATATTTCAAACTTTGTCAAAGCATATTTTGGAATTGATTTTTTTTTGTATTTCTTTAATCGTATTCCGTCCAGAAGTTATTATGCCTATACGAACATGCAATTTAATGGACTAAACTCAAATAAAATCGAACCTGAGAAATACACTCACAACACCTCTTAGAATATAAGTTAAATTAAATGCACGTTCTAGTTCACATGGCAAAATTTCAAATTGATTTCGCAAAATGATTCAGAACTAAGGGATTTCTGGAATGCTACATTTTTCCAGGAAAGGGCGCAAAATTCGAAATAGGTCAGGCAAAATTGCCAAAACGCAAAAAATATAATGTAGGAGAACAGAAAACTCTCTTTTGTTGAGTTTACTCTCCCGTATTTTATTTAAAATGTGCCCAAAATTTCGTTTTCAATATATGTCGGGGGAAACTTGACAAAGCTTACGGTTTAGTAAGTACTAACTAACCATTAAAACAACAATTTAAAAAATATATAATTTCATACCTGACGACCGCTATAATTTTTAAGCTCGCCTACGTAGTGGACATTATCGTCCACAAGTCCCGCGCTAGATCGAGAGCCCGATTAGAAAATCTAGAAAACGCATCTGCGTACGCGGCGTTACTGAAAATATTTCACGAATTTGGCGTAATTTTTGGTGAACGGCCCCCGAAGGTGGACCGGGATTCGTTAAAACCTTATTAGAAGACGGTAATTACCGGTGTTCGACTTCACTTCAACGTTTCCGCAATGAGGCGGGACGAATTTTCTAATGATATCTACATTTATTTGCATATATATATATATATATATATATATATATATATATATATATATATATATATATATATATATATATATATATATATATATATATATATATATATATATTTTTTTTTTTTTTTTTCACGTATTGATTCACGGATGGAAAAATGTAACAGTGTTCGAAGTGTTTTCGGAGCGCGAGCATTGAAGATGCCAAGTGAGATTTTGGCGAAACGTCTGCAGGATTCCAGTCGGATGCAGGATTCCAGTCGGAGTTCAACGAGCGAACGGATGATATCCCGGAATATAGTGTCATCACATTTTTCCATCCGTGAATCAATACGTGAGAATATATATATATATATATATATATATATATATATATATATATATATATATATATATATATATATATATATATATATATATATATATATATATATATCCCTAAATCGCGTCATTGTAAATGGATTTGTTTGAATCGGAAAGCAATTAAAGTGGTGTTTGCTCTAAATCAACATTTGACAACCGTAAATCCGTATTTGCGGTTTGAATACATATACGCATATAACATATAACACAAATAATTCTCAGAATGATACTTCGCATAGAATAGAATTCCGACCGTAAATAGGAAAAAATCGAAACGTTCGTTTAGTATAACGTTATTTTTAAACCAGAATGAGTACTGAGTGAACTTTAAAAATATGCATTTTGTGCAAAAAAAAATATGTGTAAATATACCGGGTGTTTCAGTGAGATAAAATAGGCATTAGAAAACGGAGGGTCTTAAAAATTTGAAAAAAACTATGTACCTCCAAAACCAATCAATTATTTAATTAATTATTGAATTATTTATTTAATCCTACAAATTTGAAAAAAAACTATGTACCTCCAAAAACCAATCAATTATTTAATTAATTATTGAATTATTTATTTAGTCCTACAAATTTGAAAAAAACTATGTACCTCCAAAACCAATCAATTATTAAATTATTTATTGAATTATTTAGTTAGCAAAACGTGTATTGAAAGAATTACGATTAGGATGAGTTTAAATACGTTTTTAGTGACGTAAACATTTATCAAATTTGAAAAAATTAAAATGGTAGGTAATCAAGAAAGACACAAGATTAAATAATGGCATGAAAGATATGTAGCGTTTAGTCAGATAAACACAATAGTATAGTATGGAACAAGTGCGTAAACGGCATTTGACTCGCGAGTTTATTTGACACGAGCAGAGCGAGTTTTTAATAACAACACGAATTTATTCACTGACATACCGTCAGAATTGACAAACGTCAAAATTCAAAGCGTGGGAAATATCTCCAAAAACATCCGATTGCTCCCAAACCCGTGCGGTAAAATCCCGGAAAAGTCCGAAGTGGCTCGTATCCGTGGGAAACGAAACTGACGTGGTAAAGTGACGCTTCCCGCACACTAGATCAGTGTATAATTGGTATTTTACAGATGGGAGAATAAAATAGACTATTCAACAAGTGCGGTAAACGGTATTTGACTCACGAGCTTAGTTGGCACGAGCGGAGCGCTTTTTCTACAAGTTTTTGGGTACATTTTTGCAAAACAACACGAATACATATTCACTGACATGACCATCAGAATTGACAAAAGTCAAAATTCAAGGAGTGGGAAATCTCTTCGAAAACATCCGATTCCCCCAAATCCCGGAAACATCCGAAGTGGCTCGTATCCGTGGGAAACGAAACTGACGTAGTAAAGTGACGCTTCCCGCTCGCTAGATCGGTGTGTAATTAGATATTTTAAAAAAATACCTAATTACCTAATTTTCCACGGATCCGAGCCACTTCGGACATTTCCGGGATTTTACCCCACGGGTTTTGGGAGCAATCAAATGTTTTCGGGATATTTCCCACGCTTTGAATTTTGACGTTTGTTAATTCTGATGGCCATATCAGTGAATGTATTCTTGTACCCAATGTACCCAAAAACCAACGGTCGAGGAAAAAGTATAGTTTGCAACACGTTCGGTAAACTTTCTAAGTCACTCGTTTATTAAACACTCGCTCCGCTCGTGTCAAATAAACTCGCCGTTTACCCCACTTGTTGCATAATTTACTATTCCACACGGGAGTAGAAAAAGTTTGTTCCCATATATCAGACATTTTTATTTCTTTTTTGAAAATGGTTTTTCAAAATTTGAAAAAAGGTGAGAATGTCAAAACGAAATAAATCGGCTATTGGGTAATTTGGTGCCCTTCGAAGGTATTTTAAAAAGTGCGTTATACTTAGTAAATTCTGGATAATTATATATTAATAACAACCCGTAAAGTGGTTTTTATTTCCAAAATTTTGTTTGATCGTTTCGAACACTTTTATTCGTATTTTAAGTTAGTTAAGTTTTTGGGCCCTTATTTAACTATCTAATGACATGAAAAATCATATATTTGCATTTATTCTTTCTTCAGAAAAGTTTTTTTTTGCGATTATCAGAAAACGGCGCGAGAACAAAGTAATCGCAATTGTTCACTCACTCCTACCACGATTGATAGCCTA